TATTGTCTTTCCTTTTTTTCAAATATAAGACAAAGACAACAGTAAGCGTCCAATTCAAATTGTGTGTAACTCTCACGACATTGCCCTTTTATAAGAATCATTTTAATTATCATAATCAACAATTTAAAAGGTATATTCAAATTTTAAATATAAATTAATCACAGCCTTCCAAAACGATTACAATCGTTAATATTCGAGGATAAATACACTCCCTCACCTTTCCTTTTACATGCATAATTAATCAACCATACATCTCTCTCAACAAACCTTACAACACCCTCACACGTCACTTTCTCCAATTGGCAACAATTTTTAGTGCGCGACTTAACACACAAATCCAATTTCGAGCTCCACTTAGCTCTATATCATCGCCACAATAAAATAATTTCACATTAGGCGTGCCACATCCACTAACAGTCAAATATTCTCTCGATGTATTTCATACAACAACCACCCATGACTTTATTAAATTTGTTATTTATGGTGAAACAGGTTAGATTTTGTGCCAAACTATGATTTCACGTGACACCTTTCCATTCAATTCACTTCACAAGTGTCACAAGGCAACACAACAAAACTTTTCTCACTTTTCAGGCCAAAGACGCCCTTCACGCCTGTGACACTTCTCACCTCAAAGCGTGTCCACGTCGAAAGTCATATCTTTCACTAACTTCTGGCCTGAAATCATCGTATGACAATTTTTCTAAGTCTAAACTGATTTCGAGACACAACACTTACGAACATCGAGAAAACTATATTTTCAAATAGGCAAGAAAATTGCCAAACTTCAACAAAAGAAGAGAGAGAAAATCAGTTTCAAGTAAGACAGAAAATAAACACCCCGCACGTGTGACCACCCCAAAAATAGAATTTCCGTGAAAAAAAAGGAAGTGGACGCCCTTTTTGACGTCACTCCCCTTGACATGCCCTCTCTTCCCCCTCAAGGCAGATCATCTTGACCGCTAGCTTCATGACGCCATTTTGAACACATGTGTCACACTACTCATTTAGATTTCCTCGAGAATCTCACAAATCTCACCAACGAGATATCACAACACAACATACATTAAACATTTTACATGTTAATTGATAACACCAATTAAAACAATTTGGTTAAGTCTTATATAGACTTTTTAACGCGAAAGAGAAATCATTCTCTACATACCAGCATTGAGGACAAACGAAAAAAACATTTCACGTATTCCCAGTTTCAGAGTCATAGAAACACCGATGTTACCAAAGGGATATAATCTAGTCACACACCACAACTGTAACTTTTCGTCAAAAGAGACAATTTTTGTTCAATTTTACACTACCCAACATTTATCCAATCATTAATGACCTTTAATTATATTCTAATCTTTGTATAAAATCTTGAATAATTATTTTTATTTTTACCTTTCAGTTATATAATCAAATTTTTAATCCAACATGATTTTCAAAAAAAAAAAAAACTTTAATCAAATTTACTTTTATTCTTCATGATATTATTTTAGTATTGCAAAACATATAATTGTTTCAAAAATTATTTTTATTTTATTATTTATTATATATTTTATATATTACAGGTTTAATTTTATCCACTTACACTTTTTGTACCCGCAATCATATTTCTATATTTCTATTCACTATATTTTATATTTTCTTAAATACCTTTATTATCTGACAATGTTTATCATCCACTATCGGGCATCTACAACAATCGTTTTCAACAATCATATTCTTTAACCAATTCCCTATATTTTTCATCACTATCTTTTCAGTCATTGCGTCACATCAACGTAGAAAAACGACAGCACTGCTTGACAATTTATTTTTTGATTTCGTAATTCAACAAACTCTTTGAGGACACAGTTCCCCAGACTTACAAATCCCGACTTCAGGTCTGAACACGCTTCAAGAGTTTATTTCATTTCATCCGCAGAGCAAATCACCAACGCATTCACAAAGCGTTCACTTTTTTCAACTTTCAACTTTTTTTTTTAGCTCGAGCGGACCACATTCAACCTTTGATTTCGAGTCAAGTTAGATCACCTACTGTCGCTACAATTCTACTTATCGCATGGCTCTATTTCACTCCTTTCTCAATCATATTAATAAGCAACTTTTCTTCAACAACTTTTAACCCAATAATCCTAAAATTGTGACAAACCACTGTAACCCTTATACAGGATCACAGGTGAAACATTGCCTCGGAAGACGCACAAGTCTATATCCTCGCTTTGCACCTGGACCTAAGTATTTGCTTACCTGTGTAATACTTACAATTGCATATCCTTTAACCACTAACCCTTTCCAACGCCCGCCAACAATCTCTTAGAACATCATCACTATTTTTTATCAAACAAAGGTTTTATCTTAATTTCTCTTATATAACGAATATCATAAATTTTAAATTAAACATAAATTGTATTTTTTATAATTTGCAGATATATCCAACAAATATAATCTTGTTATAGCCCTTTTTAACCCTCACAGTTTAAATTAATTAAAAGAAATTTTAATTACTTACCTGTGTTAGAGAGGCTTTACCCGCCTAAACCCGGATAAACCCTTTCACTCCCGGGGCTCATCTATGGTAATTTAAACCAACAACCCTATTTTGTATAATTACGTATAACAAGATTGTCATGTTGTATATAGAAACACATCTATAAATAATTATGCGCATGATTAATCTGTCATTGCATCGCCCTATGTAATGTAATTTGTACAAAGTGGATAAATAAATAAAATCTGTAATAGATTTAAGAGTTGAGCTAGGGCAGAGATCGAACATATAGTATTGCCAAAACAACAGAGTCTAAAGATGGAAGTCATAAATCAGGTAGATTCAGTATTCCCACGACAGGCCACCCACACTGTCACATGTGGTGGAATGCAGAGACCCCTCTCACACCTGGACAGGTAAAGGCGCCCTTTCTCAAACGCCCCTGTCACATAAGGTCCCCCCGTCTTTTAACCTATAAATACATCACTTTTACAGGGACTTGACAGTACAGTTTAGTTTTAGTTCACCCTTAGTGCAAGCCGCGTCGGTCGTATGTTATGTCGATCTCATCCAACATGTAGTTAGTAAGAACTCTTCTATCTCCATCTTTTCGCTCCTAGCTCAACTTTTATCTATTAACGGAACTTTCTTAGTGCAACTGTGTCTTCGTTTTTTGTGTATGGATATCCCCAGCTTTCCACTCTGCCTCGACCACGACTGCCTGTATTTTGTGAGAACTTTTAAAGGTCTTCCAAGGTGCACAGAGGTGCTGGAAAACTCTACATCCTGACTGTTCCTCTCGGTCAACACAGTACAACAAGAGCTACCAGGACTTCAACATTATTTCAGTAGTCGACAGGATCTCTACAAAAGCTACTGGAATTCTCATCTCATTACAGTAGTCGACAGGATACTACAAGTCGACAACAACGCCAAATTTCAATTTATCATTACATATATATATATATATATATATATATATATATATATATATATATATATATATATGTGTTTGTCGGCTATGCACACCCTCAATATGTAACTAATCTCGCTGAAATTTGAACAGGACAGAGAGTTAAATCTGGAAGAGTTTTTTGTTCTTCTTTAACCAAGAAAAAATATAATTAACCAGCTACTGAGCAACAATATTTTTTTAGTCAGAAATGATGATGACAATATTGCTGTATCATGCTTGATTGACATAGACAAAATTCTTCAGGGGAATATTCACTAAAACAGACCACGGGCGAAGCCAGATAATAATTTTCAGTAGTCAGGAACAAAATTCCACCTGCGAAACATTCACTCGAGCAGAAGACACACGAAGCCAGGTCATCTCTATATATAAAATATAATTTCTCGGCCTTTTGGCAAAGATCATGTAGTTTATCTCTAGATATTTTTATTTATATATATCTTTTTAAAAATATATTGAGTAGAGAGAGTGGATATGTTTGCTCGAAAAATATATTTTATATATTATATAAATATATACCGTAACGAATATTATTATCATTATTATCATAATATTCTGTGTGTTCCGGAATATTATTATCAATTATCAATAATATTCGTTAGGCAAACTTCCACTCGGATAAAACCCGGGCGAAGCCGGGTACACATCCGCTAGTTATTCATATATATGTAAATAATACTAGCACAGCACAATAGTCCTTTGGACTTCGTGCTTTTGTATAACAATAAATAAAATAAATAAATCATAACAAAAAATAAATAAATTTTTATCAGAACACTCTCTGTGATAGGCGAAACGACAAAATATTATACCCAGGTAAATAATAAATATCTCTATATATCGGCCTCTGTCACGGATGCGCGCGCACAGGGAGGTCACGTGCTCGCCGGCAGCCAATAAAAATAAAAAATAAAAAACTCCCTCGAGCCGGATTTGAACCAGTGACCTAAGGATCACCGTTGTAACATCTACAGTCCTCCGCTCTGCCAACTGAGCTATCGAGGGATACAAACTGTATGAATAAGTTTACCTTATAAAGTCAACTAATCCTATTTCTACACAAAATGTACTCATACATATATTATACTAGCCGAATGACTCGGGCAACGCCCGTGTTTTACCCGATTGAATGTTTTTATTCAAATACTATTTGTTACAATTATAAATTGGCGCCTTAAATAAATGCATATCCTAATCCTAATCAATCAGTCATAGGCCGCCTCTGTCACGGATGGCCGGCGCCCTCCTATTGGACGGCTACGATCACGTGTCATCGTTGGCGCGTAGGTGACCTTGAGTGATATAATGCCCCCCCCCCCCTGCCGGCGGCGCGCGCCCGTTGGCTGCCGGCGAGCACGTGACCTCCCTGTACGCGCGCATCCGTGACAGAGGCGGCCGGTCAATGACTGACTGATCAGGAAAGACTCTCGTGACTATATATATATAATTTAATATAATATATGTATGAGTACATTTTGTGTAGAAATAGGATTAGTTGACTTTATAAGGTAAACTTATTTATACAGTTTGTATCCCTCGATAGCTCAGTTGTAGATGTTACAACGGTGATCCTTAGGTCGCTGGTTCAAATCCGGCTCGAGGGAGTTTTTTTTTTTTAATTTTTATTGGCTGCCGGCGAGCACGTGACCTCCCTGTGCGCGCGCATCCGTGACAGAGGCCGATGAGGAAAGACGGTCGTGACTATATAAGCTATCGAGGGATACAAACTGTATGAATAAGTTTATCTTATAAAGTCAACTAATCCTATTTCTACACAAAATGTACTCATACATATATTATACTAGCCGAATGACCCGGGCAACGCCCGGGGTTTACCGATTAAATGCTTTTATTCAAATACTATTCGTTACAATTATAAATTGGCGCCGTAGATGTCACTCTTGTGAAACGTCCCGCCCCAAACCATCGGCCGGGAATCGAACATGGGGCGCCCGCGTGGCAGGCGAGCATTCTACCACTGAACCAAAGGCAAACGGTGACAGAAGTGTCTTGCGCATTGACGGCACCAAATGATGGGGGGGGGGCAAAGGTGGCGTGATCGTAGTCGACCAATAGGAGAGCGCCGGCAAACCGTGACAGAGGCCATGACGCTCGTAACTGTATATTATATTATATTACTAGACGAATGGCCCGGGCAACGCCCGGGTTTTACCCGAGTGCGTATATATTTTAAAAACGTTTTAATTCAAATACTATTCGTTACAATTATAAATTGGCGCCATGGATGTCACTCTTGTGAAACGTCCCGTTCCAAACTGTGTGTTTTTAAAATGTTTTAATTAAAATACTATTCGTTACAATTATAATTTGATTGTATAAGAAACATATTTTCATTTAAGTATTGTACTTTATATAAAAAAGATTAAATAATTGTGCAAAACGGTATATACGATATATAAACATCAAAAGAAATAATGAGCCTATCGTTCAAATATAAAATTCGAATAAATATAAATGAGATACTAAAAATTAAATACATATTTAATGAATATCATATTTTATTCTTATATTAAATATTTATTCTTTTATTCTTAACTTTATGAACGGAAAAATATGTCCAGGGTAGCCTAGTGGTAATGGCATCTGCCCGGTAAGCGGAAGGTCGTGGGTTCGATTCCCATCCCTTGACACTTTTTTTATTTTATCCATTCTGACCAAAATCTATCCGTGAACTTCACACAGTGAACTTCACACAGACAGAATAAGGCAATTATATAAGTAGATATATATATAGTCACGACCGTGTTTCCTCATCGGCCTCTGTCACGGATGCGCGCGCACAGGGAGGTCACGTGCTCGCCGGGTAAAACACGGGCGTTGCCCGGGTCATTCGGCTAGTATATATATAATAGATATATATATATATATATATATATATATATATTTTTTTTTTAATTAATTAATATATATATTTACTGAAATATAAAAGCTAAAAAATTAAATTACCATTACAAATTAATTAATGAAAATCATCAAAATTCAATTCATGAAAATTGTTTAAATCAATACATTCTATTTGGAAAAGAATAATTAATTAAACAATTCTCAGGAATTATAGAACCAATTTGCAAATTGATTTAAAAATTAGTTAATAAAAATTTCAGATGAATTATTTAAAAGTTACTCTTGCTATTTAAAAGAAAATGCTTTGTTAATCCTAGACCAACATAAATATTTACATTAAAAAAAGGCATGCATAAGAAAGGTAAACTGGATGGTGCAATTGGAAATTCTTCAAGGCATAAAAGGTTCTTCCCAGGATGTAGGATGAATCATTGTCACTGGACACTCCTTCAGGCCACACGATAAATCAGCATATTGTGCCCTATTGGTCTGCAGGATCCGATCAAAGGGTATCCTGCACATCCAACATCCTGCCAAGAACATTGTTTCCTCAGATTCATTCTCATAATTTTCATTGTTGGGTCTGAGTCCAAAATGGACCCAACATTTTCCTCCCCTTGACAGAGTGAAAAATGTGTTTAATTCTAAATCATATCTGTTCATAAAATGATAATTATGATTTCTAAAAATAAATGCATTTTTCACTATACACTATGTTGAACAGTGACCGACACTCAAGCAAAGGGAGAAACAAAACAAACAGGCCAGGGCATCTGAAACAAGTTAACATATGGTAGTATTGGAATTTACTTATCCTACCATTTAGTGGGCAAATTTACAAAGCCCTCTCTTATTTTTGTTCAGCTGTAACTTTCTGGTGATGCTGTTTGGGAAGTGACTCCATGCACTCCTTGCTGCAGTCCTTCTAGGAGAGTGGGGAATAGTCTAAATTCATGCTCTGCATACACAGACCTCCAGACCATCCCAAACAGAACATTATTATATTGGTGCCTAGGAGTTGATTCGGGGATGAAATTAGAAATTATTATAGGAGAGTATCATAAAAATGTACACAATACTGCAATGATTCATAGTTAAAAAAAGAAAAAAACTCACAAAGGATCAAATATGAGTGTATGAGTATAACTGTTATATAATAGGATAGAATGAATAAATATACATAAAGAAAAATATATAGGATATTGATGTTATATAAATTAATGGGATTATATGCGCTGAGAGATTAGTTTTATTCGTAATAACTATACATTGATATCATGTACCAGTCTTATCTACTAGTCCATCCAGAACTACATTTATTGGGGAAGTTTTACATGATAATTCAGCAGGCTGGGCGCAAGAATCGTCATCCCAATACATGTAGGGTTAAGTGGGAGAAGAAATTTAAAACCATAATATATATACTGTTATTATAGTTTATAAAGGTCTACTCTTGACCTATTCATCTTTATCATTATTAGTAAATTCCTATTTTTACTCCTTAATGTTGCCAAAGTCCTTCTTTGACACCTTTCCGAAAACATTTACTTTCTGTAAAAAAAACTCCTAAATAAGCTATTCTGTTGGGCTTTTGGTGACCCTTTTTAAATTACTACTACTAGGAACTATCTTTACATGTAACAAGATAATCTTGTCTTGAAATAATCTAACTTTGTCATTATATACATATTTTTCTTAGCCTTGAATTCTTTTTAGTAGAACGTATGGCAGAGCTAGTTCTTTAATGATGCACCATTGACAACCTGGGTGGACTTCAACTGAACAGTCCCGGGCTGTAAGGTTTTCTCGTAAGCGCTTGGTCAATTTAAAGCTCATCTAGCTAAAATTCTGTAGGCGGCATGATCCTTCGCCTAGTAAGCCAGTTGTACGACACCCCATTGTAGTCCCTCATTCCAGTCACGCAGAGAGCGTCGAAACTATGGAAAACACCTGGTTACCTGGTATCGTGTCATTGCACTTTTCAAAATTTCTAATTGTGCCACCTGGCTAAAAAAAATCCCCCATTTATCAAACACACAGTGCATCTATACCTCAACATCCCCTCTTGCGAGGTGAGGAATGGGTTAATGGGCTTGGTCTTATATCCCACCCACATCCTTCTTACCTAAATATTGAGAAAGAAGACCATCAATCATCAATTCTATATTCAAGTTACCACTAGCATGTAGGCTAACTGAAATCTCCAAGATTCTTCCTCATGTGTATAAGGTCTCGTCCCGCTAGATCCCAAATTCACTTCATTAATTGAAGAAATTAAAATTATACTCCCTGAGGAGAGAGACTAACATTTTGGAGCGACTACTTCCTATCAATAGAGAGTTGTATGGTCCTGCGAGACTTCTGATCCTAACAAATAAAGAAATCAAAATAAATCGAACCTATTAAATTCCCTAACACTATTCTAATGTATCTTTGGATTAACAGTATGTTAGACATTAACTTTGTGGTCTCATTCATTGATCATTACATTCACTCATTCCATTCACGATCTCATTCAAACTAAAGTTAGACTCTATCATAAAAACCTAAATACTATAATAATATTGTTACGACGCTTCTCAGCCGTCGATGTTTGCGTTTAAGGTTTCTGAGAAAACAATGTGGGTTCGTTTTGGATACAGCTTAGTACTATAAATTTATTACCAGAGCTTTAAAAGGGATATTAATAACTATACATAGGAGATTGACTTGTGTGCCTTCAATGCCGCCCCAGGTAGGTTCCTTCTCGTCCTTCTTTACACCGTCCTCCTCTTCGTGTCATCCACACAGTCCCCGAGCCTACTTCCCCGTAGCCAACTTGCCGCGTCTGTCGTCACAGCCGTTCTCCTTGCTGCAGGTCCCGTTGTCACCAGACAGACTTCTCTCCCCAGACTGCCATGTCTTCTCGACGCACAAACCCCCCTTCAGGCCGGCCGCTCTCTCCGCTCCTTCCTTGACTACGGCACCAGCTGGACTCCCCGTCTGCCACCCCCTCCTCTGGAATTTGTCAATCCACACTTCCTTGGAGGGGCCCCGGCATACCTTCTTCTCTTGTCTTGCCCACTTCTCTCCATTTTCTTTGCTTCACCGTTTCACTGTCATTATCAGCTCACCATAATATTAAATAACTTTCAGCACTTTATAATCACATTAAATCAAAACATTTAAACCCACTTTGTGACTATATGCCCTTTGATTAAAATTACCCTATGCCTCATACAACCCCTTATCTAACCATTTATATTCAAGAAATGGCCAATAGTGGCCTCACCTGTAAACTAACCTAACATTTAAAAAAATGAAATTTATGGTCCTATATTATCCTTGCCCTAACATAGGTGTCATGGCGAAGATGGTTTAATAAGACATTCACTTGTAATTAGAGCGAAACTGGATCACCAAAACACAAACCTTAAAGCTTTTTGTAAACTTCTGATATCTCGTTAACCTCCCAGGGACTACTTCCTGTAGATCTACTTTCTGCTCTTATCCTGGTATCTGCTGTTGACAGGGCTGTACCCAGTTTTAACGTTGAACGCATTTTAGAGTTTTTGGTACCCACCACTCTATATTAAAACTGGTACATATTCCAGCTAAACTCATCCTATCATCAGCATGTTACTATACAACATCTTCTCTCTGTCCCTTGGCTGAGATCTATCTAGCTCCTCTTCAGCTACCACAATTAAAGCTTCTCATTGATATTTCTGCACTCATTAATTAGCCAATACACGTTCAT